AAACCAATGGATTTTTCTCCCAGCCAGTTCCTCAGTAAGAAGTGCAAAGGTTTAAGAAACTTTCCATTCTCGGATAGAGAAGCTCTGGTATATTCACACTATGAAATAATATGCAGCATTGAAAAGCAAATGAACTCATGAAATAGAACGCTAAATGGGTGACCCTGGAGGACATAATGCTGAGTGAAATATCTCCATCACAAAAGGATAAATATTGCATAGTGCCACTGTTGTAAAGCAGGGGATGAATGGTGTATACTGTATTGAAACAGATGAGGGAGAAAACTGTTGAAAAGAGATATGTGATTGGGTATTATTGTCATGACAGGAGTTCAGAATGAAGGCTTCACAGTGGAGTGGAATTGGGGGGAGGGATTGCATAACAATGAAAGAGTTTTTCCTTTTCCTTTTCAAGGAGAAGAATGAATTGGGGGGAGGGGTGGGAAGGGATAAAAGTGCAACAATCAATGAGTGAAAATTCTAAGTCTCTGTAAACTTTCATTAAAATTAATAAAAAAGCCCCCATCCATTCTCAGCTGCTACTTCAAACTGAGTTTTGAAGTGTGAATCAGAATTATTTCCATAGGAAATTATTTCATAGGAAGAGAACTCTTTGAAGAGAAATCAACATGCATGGCAACAAACACCATATGTTATTTAGGACACTGTAAGATGCTCAACATCACTCCAGTGTGTTGAGAGTGAAATGTCAGGGGATGAGGATAAAGCATGTAAGCAATATATACATTCTCACATGGAGTCAGTGCTTTAGGTTGTATTCAATGGGGAGCTAGTGAAGAGGTTTTTAGTTCTAAAGAGTTAAATGAGACGTTTCAGAGAAGAAAAAAATAATAAATATCATGTAAATGAAAAAGACAGAAAGAGAAATGGTATGCATTTTATGTTTTTAGAAAGATCATTCTAACCATAGTGAGAAGTGTGTCCTTAGTCTCAAATTTCATGACTGTCCCTGAAGCACCCAACCTGAAGAGAATGAAAGATGCAAGACCTGAGGGATCGATCAGTTTCCCTAGAGCAGCCACTGTCAGCCAAATCTTCAGGACTTAAACAAGAGCTCTTCCAATGAACCCAAGACAGAAGGACATTTCAGGCAGAAGCAGCTGCATATAGAACCTCCTAGAGTAGAAAAGAAATAAAAAGGAGAAGTCATTAAACTCTAAAGATATGCCCCTTCAAGGTCAATGTGCATTGCCCAAGTATTTGGCTTCATTTTTAAGACAACAATGTACACAATGTTTTTAAATTGACAGTGGCATGGGCATTGGGCATTTATGAGTCGTAATTGACTCAAGGGTACCCAACAACAATGGGAATTTTAGCAAGGTCACATTGGTAGTGGTAAGAAAGGGTGGCTGGAGGAGACCAGGATAATTATAATAATTTTATTTATATTTAT